ACACTACTACTACTACTACTACTGCTACTACTACTACTACTACTACCACTACTGATACTACTACTACTAGCACCACTACTACTACTACTACTACTACTACTACTACTAATACTACTACTACTACTGCTAGAGGTACTACTACTACTACTACTACTGCTGCTACTACTACTACTACTACTACTACTACTACTACCACTACTACTACTAGTAGTACTACTACGACTACTACTACTACTACTACTACTACTACTACTACTACTACTAATACTACTACTACGACCACTCCCACGGCTACTGCTACACCTCTACCGCTGCCTCCACCTCTTACCAAGGCCGCTGCTACAATCAGACGACGACGATGTCTGTTATCAGTACTGCTTTACAGTGGCTGAGCTTAGCTCAAGCGTCAGATTGGAACTAACTCTTGGTAACTATTGAGTAGCCAACTGGATCTCAGTGACCCTTCGTATCTTGCTGGGGAAGGGTTCGGCTCGCGACTCGGGTTTAATGCCTCCGCGTACGCGAGCGATGGCAAGCGCATGAAGCACGGAATTGCATGCCTAGCATTACCTAGCGCTTATTGACGTATAATTTCGGCCGAGGCACTCAGAAACAACGAAGCTTCCCGGTAGGTGACATTCCTGCAACATCTGCGACGGCCAACGGTCTAGTCCTGATCCTCGCTATTTCTCCAACCAGACCCTTGGATCTTAGACTGCCGAAGCCCTTCAACAAACAAGTCGTGAAACAGGCGTCAGGTTCGTGCTTGGTGGGAGCAAAGGGTGCAAGCCCCCCTTAACATCCACGCAGCTTCAAAATGTCACAACTGTATTCACTGAAGCTCTTTGCGAAGCTAAGCTGTTCAAGACCGCAAACACGAATGATTCAAAAAACTACAATGCATCAAATGTTGCATTGCCCACAGTCCCGCCGAGTTTGTACTCCGAGGGCAGAAGAATGCTGATGGTGATGTCGTAGAAGATCTGCGGCTTGAATGAGTAAAGCCAACAGTAGTCATGAAATGGCAGGCTTGGGGGTACGGAAATCGGCTTCTTGCGAAGGCCCGTAACGTACAGTGGCAGGACTGCAGATGTCTCTGGTCATTGATTTCTAGGACCTTATCCAAAGCCCCAGTAAACGAAAGACCAGAGCCCGCCAGGCTCTGGCCGGCCCCTGCGAAGTCTGAAGCCTCAGCCCGTGAAGTAATACTGGCAACTTCGGCTTTTGCGTTGTGCTCAATTTCTGCTTCAAAGCCCGGGCTTCTTGGGAGGTATGAACCTCTCCAGGACGGGGATGCTCGAAGTCCCGCCCGGTGACAGATTCGTTCCTCTCCTCTGAAAACGACCCACTTCTTCTTATCCGGCAGCCTGAACCCTCCCCTCCCTCTGGACCCATTCACAGGCCCCAAGGTCAAGTGGGGAACTTTCGTGTCCTGCAATGATTTTGGTTGTTTGTAGGCACTCTACGCACAAAAATGCCCCTCCCCTTCCCCCTGCCCCCCCTACCCTGAGCGTCCTCCTCCGGTTCGTCAACGACGCCCTAAAAGCAGCAACTCGTCGGCCCTCTTTCTGCGGGCGGGCCGAGGCGGACGACACGAATTAGACATGCATGGCTTACAGTTCCATTGCTGGCGGCCTGGGGGCGGTCGACCTCGTACACAGAATACCACAGAGTGTCGAAGTTGAGGCAGTGCGCACTGTCGCCTGGCGAGGCCACTAGCCCCAAATACGTAACTGAAACTCGAAAGCCCCAGAACCCTGGAAATCTAGAAGCCAAATGGCTGAACTCTCGACGCGGCCTCAGGTGCAGGAGTCGACTCCGAGTCCAAAATTACCAAATTATTATTGAGGTCAGCGAATCTCGACCTTGACGCTTCCAGCTGTGGCTTCAGGCAGTGCTGATGAGCACCCTTGAGCAACAACACCTCGAAGTTCAACCTAGAGTTTCTGCCTATGGTTTACGATTCAATGCTTGTGGTGGCAAGGACGCAACTCGAAGAAACGATAAGGAACACTAAAACCTACCACTCGGACAGGACCTGGAGCTCTGGCACCGCTGAACTTCGGACATGGATTGAAAGCATCGTAAACCTGTGCCCGAAACTCCACACCCGCCTAGAAGTCAGAAATACACTTTTCCCGTTGAGTAAGACTTCCAAACTCCGCACAATCCCATTAAACTCCATGAGCGCGAAACTTGGACTCCATACTCATTGTGAAAAGCCCACAGTCTGCCGACGACCGAGTCGGTTGTCCAGACCTCAGGGCATGTTTGCTCGTTTGAGCGGTTTACTCCATGTTTCTCAAATACTCCACCCCGGTCCCTTTCGAGTGGTTTGTGCTGATCCCGTTTGCTCAAGCAATCTAGTCCCTTCATACTCCCAGAAATACGAATCCCCCCCCCTTCCATATTCCGGAAAGAAAGAACCCCCTTCATCCTCCCAGAAGGACAAACCCCCTCCTTCATATTCCAGAAAGACGACCCCCTCCTATCATAGTCCGGGAGAAGGAACCCCCCCACCCCGCTAACGGCCCTATCTGTCTCGTTTGAGCGGTTTGTTCCTTCCTCTGAAACTCTGTAGTTCCTTTCGAACGGTTTGCTCTTTGTTTGCACATTCTTTAGTCTCTTTCGAAACTCTCTAGTGTCTTTCAAGCGGTTTGCTCCTTCTTCTGAAATTATCTAGTCTCCTTCGAGCGGTTTGCTCCTTCTTCTGAACCTCTTCAGTTCCTTTCGAGCGGTTTGCTCCTTCTTCTGAAACTCTTCAGTTCCTTTCGAACGGTTTGCTCCTTGTTTTCACATTCTCTAGTTTCTTTCGAAACTCTTTACTCTTTCTCTCAATCGGCTTGCCCCTCTCCTGAAATTCTTCAGTTCCTTTCGAACGGTTTGCTCTTTGTTTCCAAATTGTATAGTCTCTTTCGAAACTCTCCAGTCTCATTCGAGCGGTTTTGCTCCTTCTTCTAAAACTCTCTCGTTCCTTTCGACGGCTTTGCTCCTTGCTTCCAAATTCTCTAGTTTCAATCGAAATTCTTTAGTTTTTTTCGAGCGGTTCGCTCCTTGTTTTCAAAAACTCTAGTCTCTTATCGAAATTCTCTAATATCTTTCGAGCGGCTTGCTCCTGGTCCTGAAAGTCTCCAATTTGTTTCGCGCTTGTGCTCTTGTGTGCACTTGTTCTAGCCTCTTTCGAGCGGTTTGTTTTTTCTTCTGTAATTCTCTAGTTCCTTTCGAGCGGTTTGCTCCCTGTTTTCAATTTCTCTCGTCTCGTTGGAGCGGTTTGTTCCTTCTGCAAGTCTCTAGTTCCTTTCGAGCAGTTCGCGCCATGTTTTCAAATTATCTTATCTCTTTCGAAATTCTCTAGTCTCTTTCAAGTGGTTTGCTCCTTCTTCTAAAATTCTCTAGTTCCTCTCGGTTTGCTCCTTGTTTTCCAATCCTCTAATCTCTTTCGAAATTCTCTAGTCTTTTTCGAGCCGTTTGCTCCTTCTCAAACTCTCTAATTCCATTCAAGCGGCTTGCTCATTGTTTCAAACCCTAGTCTCTAGTCTCTTTCGAGCGGTTTGCTCCTTCTTCTGAACTTCTCTAGGCTTTTTTGAGCGGTGTGTTCCTTGTTGTCAAAGCCCCTGGTCTCTCTCGAAATTTTCTAACCTCTTTCGAGCGGCTTGCTCCTTCTTGTGAATCCTTCCGAGCGGCTTGCTCCTTTTTTTCAAAATCTCTGATCTCTCTCGAACGTCTCTAGTCTCTTTCCAACGGTTTGCTCCTTCTCAGTTCCTTTCGAGCGGTTTGCTCTTTGTTTTCAAGTTGTCTAGGTTCGTTCGATATTCTCTAGTCTCTGTCGAGCGGCTTGCTCCTTCTTCTGAAACTCTCTAGACCCTATCGAGCGGTCTGCACCTTGTTTGCAATTTCTCGACCCTCTTTCGAATTTCTCTAGTTCCTGTCGAGCGCTTTGCTCCTTCTTCTGATATTCTCTAGTTCCTTTCGGACGGTTTGCTCCTTGTTTCCAATTGCTCTAGTTTCTTTCGAAATTTCTCCTGCTTCTGAAACTCTCTAGTTCCTTTCGACGGCTTTGCTCCTTGCTTTCAAAGCATCTGGTATGTTTCGAAATTCTCTAGTCTCTTTCGAGAGGTTTGCTCCCTGTCTTCAAACGTGATAGTCTCTGTCGAAAATTATCTAGTCTCATTCGAGCGGTTTGCTCCTTCTTCTGAAACTCTCTAGCTCCTTTCGCGCGGTTTGCTCCTTGTTTTCACGTTTCTCTTATCTCTTTCGAAATTCTCTAGTCTCTTTCAAGCCTTTTGTTCCTTCTTCTGAAACTCTCTAGTTCCTTTCGAGCGGTTTGCTGCTTAATTCTGGAAATCTCTCTAAGTCTCTCTTCGAAACTCTTTAATCGCTTTCGAGCGGCTTGCTCCTCGTTCTGAAACTCTCTCGTTCCTTTCGACCGGTTTGCTCCTAGTTTTCGGATCCTCTAGTCATTGTCGAAATTCCCTAGTCTCTTTCGAGCGGTTTGCTCCTTCTTCTGAAACTCTCTAGCTCCTTTCGCGCGGTTTGCTCCTTGTTTTCACATTTCTCTTATCTCTTTCGAAATTCTCTAGTCTCTTTCAAGCCTTTTGTTCCTTCTTCTGAAACTCTCTAGTTCCTTTCGAGCGGTTTGCTGCTTAATTCTGGAAATCTCTCTAAGTCTCTCTTCGAAACTCTCTAATCGCTGACGAGCGGTTTGCTCCTCGTTCTGAAACTCTCTCGTTCCTTTCGAGCGGTTTGCCCCTTGTTTGCGGTTCCTCTAGTCATTGTCGAAATTCCCTAGTCTCTTTCGAGCGGTTTGCTCTTCTTCTGAAACTCTCTAGCTCCTTTCGCGCGGTTTGCTCCTTGTTTTCACATTTCTCTTATCTCTCTCGAAATTCTCTAGTCTCTTTCAAGCCTTTTGTTCCTTCTTCTGAAACTCTCTAGTTCCTTTCGAGCGGTTTGCTGCTTAATTCTGGAAATCTCTCTAAGTCTCTCTTCGAAACTCTTTAATCGCTTTCGAGCGGTTTGCTCCTCGTTCTGAAACTCTATCGTTCCTTTCGAGCGGTTTGCTCCTTGTTTTCGGATCCTCTAGTCACTGTCGAAATTCTCTAGTCTCTTTCGAGCGGTTTGCTCCTTCATCTGAAACTTTCTAGATCCTTTCGACGGGTTTGCTCCTTGTGACCAAATCCTCTAGTCTCTTTCGACATTCTCTAGTCTCGTTCGAGCGGCTTGCTCCTTCCTCTTGACATTCTCTAGTTCCTGTCGAACGGTTTGCTCCTTGTTTTGAAACGCTCTAGGCTCTTTTGCGCGGTTTGGTTCATTTTCTGAAACTCTCTAGTTTCTTGCGAGAAGTTTGCTCCTTCTTTTCGAACTCTCTAGTCTCTGTCGAATTTCCCTAGTCTCTTTCGAGCGGTTTGCTCCTTCTTCGAAAATTCTCTAGTTCCTTTCGAGCAGTTTGCTCCTTGTTTCCGATTTATCCAATCTCTTTTAAATTCTCTAGTCTCTTTCGAGCAAGCTGTCTAATTTCATCGGGTGGCTTGCTCCTTGTTTTCAAACTCTCTCGTGTCTTTCGAAATTCTCTAGCATGTTTCGAGCGGTTCAAATTCAATCTAATCTCTTTCGAGCGGTTTGCCCCTTCTTCTGGATTTCTTTAGACCCGTTTTGGGCGGGTTGCTCCCTTTTTGCAATTTCTCTACTCTCGTTCGAGCGCTTTGCTCCTTCATCTCAAATTCTCTAGTTCCGTTCGACAGGCTTGCTCCTTGTTTTCAAGACCCCTGGTCTCTGTCGAAAGTCTCTAGTCTCTTTCGAGCGGTTTGCTCTTTGTTCTGAAATTCTCTTGTTCCTTGCGAGCGGTTTGCTCCTTGTTTTCAACTTCAACAATCTCTTTCGAAATTGTCGAGTCTCTTTCGATCGGCCAGCTCCTTCTTCTGAAATTCTGCAGTTCCTTTTGAGCGGTTTGCTCCTTGTTGTCAAATTCTGTGGTCGCTTTCGAGTTTTTCTAGTCTCTTTGGCTCGGTTTGCTTTAGTAATTCTTTAGTCTCTTTCGAGCGGTTTGCTCCTTATTCTGAAATTCTCGGTTCCTTTCGAGCGGTTTGCTCCGTGCTTTTTCTAATCTCCTTCGAAATTCTGCAGTCTTTTTCGAGCGGTTTGCTCCTTCTTCTGAAAGTCTCTAGCTCCTTTCGAGCGGCGTGTGGTCCTGTTTTCAAATTCTCTTCCGAAATTCGTTTCCTTTCGCGCGGTTTGCTCCTTGTTTTCATTTTCTCTACTCTGCTTTGAAATTTCCTAGTCTCTGTCCAGCGGTTTGCTCCTTCTTATGAAATTCTATAGTTCCTTTCAAGCGGTTTGTTCCTTGTTTTGAAAGTCCTTAGTCTTTTCGACATGCTGTCCAGTTTCTTTCGACCGGTTTGCTTCTTCTTCTCGAATTCTCGAGTTCCTTTCGAGCGGTTTGCTCCCTGCTGTCGAACTCTCTAGCCTCTTTCAAAACAAGGAGCAAATCGCTTGACAAGAACTGGAGAATTTCAGAAGAAGGAGCAAACCGCTCGAAAGAGACCAGAGAATTTCGAAAGACACTTGACAAGGAGCCAACCGCTCAACAGGCACTGGAGAATTTCAGAACAAAAAGCAAGTCGCTCGAAACAGACTGGAGAATTTCGAAAGAGACTAGACAACTTGAAGAGCCGCTCGAAAGGAACTAAAGAATTTCAGAAGAAGGGGCAAACCGCTCGAAAAAGACTAGAGAATTTCAATTGACACTAGAGAAATTGAAAGAAAGGAGCAAGCCGCTCGAAAGGAACTGAAAAGTTTCAGAAGAAGAAGCAAACCGCTCGGAAAAGACTAGAGAATTTCGTAAGAGATTCGAGAATACGAACCGCTCGAAAGGAACTAGAGAATTTCGGAAGAAGGAGCAAACCGGTTTGAGAGAAACTAGAGGATTTCGACAGAAACTTAGAAATTTTGAAACACATGGAGATATCTCTAGTCTTTCTCGAGCGGTTTGCTCCTTGCTCTGAAATTCTCTAGTTCTTTTCGAGCGGGTTGCTCTTGGTTTTCAATGTCGCTAGTCTCTTTCGGTATTCTTTAGTTCCTTTCAAGCGGCTTGGTCCTTCTTCTGAAATTCTCTAGATCCATTCGATTGCTCCTTGCCTTCAAATTCTCTAGTCTCTAGTCTCTTTCGAGCGGCTTGCTCCTTCTTCTGAACTTCTCTAGCTCCTTTCGAGCGGTGTGCTCCTTGTTGTCAAAGCCCCTAGTCTGTCATGAAATTTTCTAATCTCTTTCGAGCGGCTTGCTCCTTCTTCTGAAATTCTCTGGTTCCTCGAGCGGCTTGCTCCTTTTGTTCAAAATCTCTAGTCTCTTTCGAAATTCTCTAGTCTCTTTCGAACGGTTTGCTCCTTCTCGGTTCCTTTCGAGCGGTTTGCTCCCTGTTTTCAAGTCCCAAGACTGTAGTCCATTTCGAGCGGTTTGCTCCGTGTTTCGCAATCACTTTTGTCCATTTCGAGCGGTTTGCTCCCTGTTTCTCAAACACTTTAAGCCTCTTCGAACGGTTTCGTTGTTTGTCAAATATACGCTAGTCGCTTTCGAGCGGCTTGCTCCCTGCTTCTCAAATACTCTAGTCCAGTTCGAGCGGTGTGCTCCCTGTTTCCCGAACACTCTCTGGTCCCTTTCGCAGTTTGTTCGCTATATCTCAAATACTTTAGTCTCGCTTCAGCGGTGTTGTTCCTTATTTTTCAAACACTCGAGTCCACTTCGAGCGAAACAAATACTCTCGTCTCTCAAATACTCTCGTCCCTTTCGAGAGGTTTGCTCGCTGTTTCTCAAATACCCTAGTCTCTTTCGAGCGGTTTGCTCTTGGTTTTTTAAAACACTCTGGCCCCTTAGTGGCCTGAGCGCGGTTTGCTCCCTATGCTGTAGTCCCTCACGAGCGGTCTTCGAGTAGTCTACCACAGCTGCAAGATTCCTGTTTGGAGTTTCTTGCGCGGCATTTTGCCGCACGTCTCGACACTAAAGATGCAAGCATAGCGGACCTTCAATCAACCTCACATCTCAAAAAGCTTTCTTCAGTTCAAATCCTTTCGAAAAATAATACTTGCGGCACAACTACCACAATCTCTAAACGTCAAGCCTTCAGCTAGCAGCCCCTCGCCAGGCTCCCCACACCACTTTGCCAAGGTCGCAACCACAGCAGAAGCCCTCAGCGCGAGACAGGGCTCGGGTTTAGGCAAGGCTTACGATTTTCATCCATCCTGCGCCCGAGCCTATCGAAACCTCTGTCGACACCACCGCCTGGCGCCCGTACTGCTACTGCTACTGCTACTGCTACTGCCGCTGCCCACTGCTACTGCTACTGCTGCTGCTACTACTACTACTACTACTACTACTGCCACCACTACCACTACCAGTACCACTATGACTACGACTACGACTACGACTACGACTACGACGACGAACACGACTACGACTACGACGACGACTACGGCTACGGCTACGGCTACGACTACGACTACGACTACGACTACGACTACGACTACGACTACGACTACGACTACGACTACGACTACGACGACTACGACGACGATTAATACTACTACTACTACTACTACTACTACTACTACTACTACTACGACTACTACGACGACTACCACTACTCCCATTGCGACTGCGACTGCGACTGCCACAGCTACTACTGCTCCTACTCCTACTTCTACTACTGCTACTCCTGCTGCTACTCCTACTGCAACTGCCACTCCTACCCCTGCCGCTCCTACTGCTACTGCTTCTGCTACTCCTGCTGCTACTGCTACTGCTCCAGCTCCTGCTCCTGCTCCTGCCAGTGCGACTGCGACTTCGACCACGACCATGGCCACGACGACAACAACAACAGCAACAGCTACCACGACGACTACCAACTCCCACCTGCTGCTGCTGCTGCTGCTGCTACGACTACGACGACTACTACTACTACTACTACTACTACTACTACTACCGGTACTGCTCAGAAGGCTACGGTATCAGGGTACCCTCTGCTGAGTTGCTGCTAATGTCAGTTCCAGGGTGTAGGTTGCCCAGAATGGGGCTTTCTACAGGAACCCTATTCTGACTATTAACCCCCCTCAGGCCCTAAACCCTAAACCCTGTTCTGATTATTAAAGGCTTAGGCGCTAAACCCTAAACCCTATTCCGGTTTTTACAGCCCTAAGCACTAAACGCTCAACCCTATTCGGACTGTTCAAGCCCTAAGCCCTAAATCTTCAACCCTATTCTGAGTATTAAAGCCCTAAACCCTAAACCCTGTTCTGACTGTTCAAGCCCTAAGCCCTAAACCCTAAACCCTATTCTGACTATGAAAGCCCTAAGCCCTAAACCCTGTTCTGATTATTAAAGCCCTAGTATTACGACGTTGCACCTTTGAAGTTGAGCTTTGCCAGGGAAGGCCGCGTCTGGTGCCCGTGGGGTTCCGACACGGCTACAGCCTCAGGCCCAAGGTTTTGGGTTTAGGGTTTAGGATTTTGGTTGAGGGTTTAGGGTTTAGGGTCTAGGGTCTAGGGTTTAGGGTTTAGGGTTTATAGGGGTTTGGTTTAGGTAGGGTTCAGGGTAAAAGCTTGTGGATATATTAGGGCTAAGGGCTTAGGCTGTAGGGTCGGCTGTAGACTTGAGGCTGCATGAGCCGCACATCTGTTTTGTCTTGTCAAAGTCAGCGATTGAATCATGATGGAACCAAAACTGCGGGACTGTTTGCTCTGTCCTTGCTCAACTAAGCTTGGGCGTTAACAGGTTGCTGTGGAATTTAGGTGACTTGTGCTCATGTGGCATACAAGGTGCAACTGTTCCGGATGTCGTGGCGTGACAGCATGGGCTACGCGCCGCATCCTGAGTCACAGCCAGTCGTGGCCTTGTTCCCTAGGTTGTAATGGAAAAGCGATTCTATTTGTCGGCTGCAGGCCGTCAAGCCCTATGAAGCATTACACAGGTTGAGTTTCACACGCAGATTTCTCTCAGAAGTTGGAGAGAGTGAAAATGTGAAACCTATAATCTGCACCTCCTTTCAGTTGGTCGTGAAGACCTACCTTAGCTGATACTTCATGGGACGGCCGTCATCGGAAGTCCGGAATGGGCTCAACATGCGCCGAGTGAGAAGGACTTCATTGCAGAGAAGGGACACTGACTAGGAGCCTAGACCCTAAACCCCTAAAACCGAAACCAAAAACCCCAAACCCCAAAACCGCCAAGCCCTAACCCCTGACTGGTTGTCGATGCTTCCTCCATGTTCTGAAAAACCGAGGACAAATACAGGGGTCGGAAGGATCAGATCATCGGAATACCCTAAGCCCCTAAACCCTAAATCCCTTGGACCCTTAAATCCCTAAGCCCCAAACCCTAAACCCCTAAACCCTAAACCCTAAACGCTAAGCCCTAACCCAAAACCCCAAACCCTGAAGGATTAACCAAGGCCCTTTTTAGTATGCCTCCAAAGAGCCGGTCATGTCCAGGTGCAGTGAGCTGCTGGAGAAGTGCGGCATGCAGGCCACTCCATAAAGTCAACAACACGGATCTTGGCTTCGGGGTCTAAAGTTTAGGGTGCAGCTGCCGAGCACGGCCAAACATGTGGGTTTAGGGTTTCAGAGTTTAGGGCTTAGGTTGCAGCGTTTCGGGTTTCGGAGTCATGGCGACTAGGCTTGTTGCAGGCCCTAGCCTTCCCTTCAGGTTTCCGCTTCGCCTAAAGACGGGGCCCATCAACAGACGAAGGCCTCCCTTCATCCCAGAGACTCCAAAACCCCTTAATTAAGGAATATACCTTAAATTATAGTAGGATCCCTAATATGATTTAAGGTATATTCCTTAATTAAGGGGTTTTGGAGTCAGCTGGGATTGCAGACACATGCTATTCAGTTGGAGCGTACAGCATGCTCGAGGACTCCAGGAACGTGTACGACATGTAGTAAGTTTGGTGCAACATGCTGCTGCGCTGTGACCCCTGTTCCGAGATGTCTTCGGAAGGCCTGCATCTGCATGTGGGGTCGAACTATCAGGTAAAGTGCGTACTGCGCAGCCACATAATATGTGGTAGATGTAGACAACATCAGCTTGCTCTACGATTGCACACCTAGCCCACAGCTTGTTTAGACCCCGAAGCCCTAAATGCCCAAACCCTAAACTTTAGGATTGTTAGGGTTTAAGGGATTAGGGTGTAGGGTGGAGGGTTTAGATCGCAGAACCCTCTGTGAGGCCTCTTCCGAGGGCTGCTCTCTCGTGTACATCGCGGTGATGATCCTGGCCACAGCCTCAGCTTTTGGGGTCATTAAGCAGCCACAGAACCGCACTAGAAGGATTAGGTCTACGGGTTGCGATAGGTGTAGGGTTGAGGGCTTGGCTTCGGATGGTTCAGGGCTTGGGGTTTCGGGCTGCAAGCGGTTCAGGGTTTGAGGTTGCCAGAGTTGGTCCTTAAGAAATCCAGATCCCTTCGCGGCTCTCTCAGGCCAATAAAAAAAGACGTGACGCTCTTGAGCACCAAAATAGACATCCAGCAAGCCCTGAAGCCCCAACCACTACTTGTACCTCCAAGACACGCAGCCCTAGGCTCTGAACCATAGCCCAAGCGCAGAAGTTCCTTCGAAGACATGTGGGTAGTTTTCTAAATTAGGGTCCCTTTTTAATTTAGGTCCCCACTATAGTACGGCACCCTTATAAAAAGGACTCCAAAAGGGACCCTTATTTAGAGAACTACCCATGTGCAGTTGGGTCAGCAACTTCGCAGAGGAGCTTGGCGAGGTCTGCTGAAGGACCCGCCCAAGTTTGAGACCCCTCACGTTGCATATCCATGTTTCCGAACTCCGAACATGAACCCCTAAACCCTAAGCCCTAAACCGCTGAGCCTTAAACCCAGAGCCATAATACCGGCGAGTTACCCTTCTAGTAGCTCTCCCAACCATTAGAGTTACTGAGTAACCCTAACAATTCTTCGATCAAGGGGTTTAGGGTTAGGGTTTAGGGGTGACCCATAGAGTAAGTCTCATATTGACTCTTAAAGCTTTAGAGTTACCCTTAGTATCCCATGTACGAGCCCTGTTAATTATCACGAGCCATTTCGCCCTTGGGGTAAGCCTCATAATGACGACCCCAACCCCCAAAGCTCAAGAAGCCCTGCCCAGTAGAGCCCTAAACCGCTGCCCCTAAACCCTACATCCCCTAAGCCCCTAACGCCTAAAACCTTAAACCCATCAACCCCCAAGCCCCTGAACCCAAAATCCCTGAAACCCCTAAACCCTAAACCCCTAAACCCTAAACCCTAAATCCTAAACCCTAAACAAACTCTAAGCCTTGTAAGGTGGCCGGGGAGATCTCCACCTGGGCAGACGGGTCCTCAGCCTTCCCTGGAGAGTTTAGGGTTTAGGGCTTTGGGTTTCGAGTTTAGGGTTTAGGCTTCAGGGTTTTGGGGTTTAGGGTTTCGAGTTTAGGGTTTAGGGTTTTAGGGTTTAGGGTTTGGGGTTTATGGCTTCGGTTTTAGATTGGCACGGATACGGTGGAGGTTCCGGGATTAAGTGATTAGAGGCAGGGGATGTTTGGTTGATGCTGGAACCACTGCCGTTGCCTGCGCTCTTGCTTCTGTTTGTCTTCATGTCGTTTTCTTGCTTCGTCTACTTCCGAGATGTGTCTGAACTGCGTATGTTGATTATGTTGCCGTGGATCATGCTGCGTAGCACGGTGTTGCTTTCCCTCCTGCAGCAGTCGCAGGCTTCTTGCACATGCAGCCGTAGAAGCACTATTATGGCAACGGCCCAGCAGCATCAGCATCAGCTGCTTTTGGTAGCAGTGGCAAAGAGAGCAAAGCAGATGTGACATGCGCGGCGACCGGAATGAAAGCAAGAGGAGTCACCGTTCTGGTGCTGCCGGTGGGCAACCAGCTTTAGTGCTTTAGTGTGCCCTGGGAGCTTCGATGTTTCAGGTTTGGGATTTAGGGTTTAGGGTTTAGGGTTTAGGGTTCCGAAAGGTCCTCACCATGAACTTCCTGGCAGCGCTGGTCTGCCTCCTCGGGGTGAAGAACGGCGTAGGCTGGCACCTCGCGATGTGACTTCTCGGCTTTTGCAATAATATAGGGGCCTAAACAATTAGAATAGGGTTTTGGGGTATGGTAAACTATAATTATACTGTAATAAGGAACCCCCCAAACCCTATTCTAGTTGTTAAAAGCCCCTACATTAACTTTGGAGTTCGGGGAGCGGGGCGAGATCTGCAGTGGTGAACAGTTGCCAGCGTAGCGCAGTTAGGAGTGCCAAGGTTAGGCTCTCGAATCCGGCACTCTAGCTCAGAAGCCTTCACCTATAGATCACAAGATCCACCCCCCCCCCCCAACAAGGTCCCTAGATTCTCAAAACCTCAGATCAAAGGCTAAGGGTGGCCCGAAACTTGAGCAAGCAACGCCCCAGAGCCTAGACCCTGAAGCTCCGCGGGGGTTCGAAGCCCTGCAGCGCCAACTACTGTAGGGGCCTACATAATTAAC